AGGCGGGCTGTCGGGGAAAGGGCTCCGCGCGCAGAGCCGCCTTGCGAGCCCGGCCAAACCAAGGGAAGAAGTCGGGCCCGGGGAGGGGAGGGGGCTGCGGAGACAATGGAGCCGACGGGATGGGGAGGGGAGGGGGCGCGCGCCCCCCGGGGGGATCCTTCGCTCGCCGCCTTTCCCGTGGCTGGAGCGCCTGAGAGGCGCCCTTTCGCTCTTTGGACCGGGACTGCGCGGAGGGGCTGGGCTGGGCTGGGCTGGGGACGTCGCTGTTCGCCGCGTTGGGCTCAACTCCGGGATTTCTCCCGCACGGGATGCTTCGCAACCGCTCGAGGGACAAAGTTGGCGTTTTCGAGAGCCGATCTCCACCTAGCGGCACGGAAGCGGAACATGAGGCACCGAGGCGGGGAAAGGTGTCGGGTTGGTGGGGTTTTCTTTTCTTTTTTGGCTGTCCTGAAGGCGCTCTCTTTGCGACCTACCCGTGATGTTAGGGTTCTGCTTGTCCGTACAACAGCCCTTGGGTGTCGGTCAGGCGGAGCGCGAGCGACTTGGCCAGGTCACCCAGCAAGCTTCATGGCAGAGTGTGGATTTTTTTTTTTTGCAAACAAGGTTCCTCTGGGTCACTTCAGTGTACTGGCTGTCATTCAGATTGATTTAACGTTCACCACTGAACATGCTTTGGGAAAGTTCAGCAAGGGAAATGCCACTTTATCCTTGAACTCACCACTGAATCTTAAGCAACCTAAAGGTAAAGGTTCCCTTGCTCGAAAGCCAGTCGAATCCGACTCTAGGGTTGTGGTGCTCATCTCTGTTTCAAAGCCGAAGAGCCAGCGCTGTCCGAAGACGTTTCCGTGGTCATGTGGCCGTTGGCAGGAGCTGGAGCTAGAGATGGGAGCTCACTCCATCATGCAGCACCCGGGTCTCAAACTGCTGAACTACTGACCTTCCACAGCCTGCAGTTCAGCGTAACCACTTGAGCCCAGCAGCTCCTAACAATGGGTGTTAGGAAGTCTTAAAAGTCATGCGGTGTTTTCGGATACATTTAATTTTTAAAAAATCCTACTTTGTGTCTCAGGAAGCCTCCTACCTTGGAACTTTCCTTGGGTTCACTCTTGATGGATCATCCACCTTTTAATAAAAATAGAACAGATTTAGAGTCCGGTGGCACCTTTAAGACCTGCAAAGGTTTATTCAAGGCATGAGGTTTATTCAAGGCACAGCCTTGCACACGAAACCTCATGCCTTGAATAAACCTTTGTTGGTCTTAAAGGTGCCACCAAATTTGTTCTATTTTTATTAAAAGGTGGATGTACGCTGGACCCGGCGGAGTTGGCCAGCTATCGCCCGGTGTCCAATTTGCCCTATTTGGGCAAACTGATTGAGAGGGCGGTGGCAGTGCAGCTGCAGGGCTTTCTGGATGACGCTTCCGCCTTTGACCCATTCCAGTCTGGCTTTCGCCCGGGACATGGGACGGAGACTGTGCTGGTTGCCCTTACTGACGACCTCCGCAGACATCTGGATCGAGGCGGTGTGGCGGCGCTGTTGTTGTTAGATCTGTCGGCCGCATTTGATACAGTCGACCACCAGCTGCTTGCCCACCGCCTTGCCGACGTGGGGATCCAGGGGCTCGCCCTTCAATGGCTTGTCTCTTTTCTCCAAGGCCGGGGGCAGAGGGTTGAGCTAGGGGAGCAGCAGTCCCGGAGGCACCTGCTTGAATGCGGAGTGCCTCAGGGGGCAGTATTCTCCCCGATGCTATTTAACAGATACATGCACCCTCTCGTTCAGATTGTCCGGAGGTATGGGCTTGGGTGTCATCAATATGCCGATGACACCCAGCTCTATCTGATGTTGGGCGTTCAGTCGGACTCCGACCCAGAAGACCTTCAACGGGCGTTACAGGCCGTCTCTGGATGGCTCAGGCTGAGCCGGCTGAAGCTGAACCCGGCGAAGACGGAGGTCCTGTGCCTGGGTCGAGGTGGGATGGGGATGGGG